GCCGCAATTATACTCATACTGATTATTCTATACATTGTATATTAGCATTAGAATACCTCAAAGTTGATGTGATGGGCTTAGGAAAAAGATTGTGCACTTTTCCTGACGCAAATTCCTATCAACCATATAGATTTTGCCATATAACTTCGTAATTCACTGGACTGCCGCAATCATACTCATACTGATTATTCTAAACATTGTATATTACCATTAGAATACCTCAAAATTGATGTGTAGGGCTTAGGAAAAAGATTGTGCACTTTTCCTAACGCAAATTCCTATCAACCATATAGATTTTGCCTTATAGCGTCGTAATTCACTGGACTGCCGCAATCATACTCATACTGATTATTCTATACATTGTGTATTAGCATTAGAATACATCAAAGTTGATGTGATGGGCTTAGGAAAAAGATTGTGCACTTTTCCTGATGCGAGTTCCTATCAACCATATACATTTTGCCATATAACTTCGTAATTCACTGGACTGCCGCAATCATACTCATACTGATTATTCTATACATTGTATATTAGCATTAGAATACCTCAAAGTTGATGTGATGGGCTTAGGAAAAAGATTGTGCACTTTTCCTGACGCAAATTCCTATCAATCATATAGATTTTGCCTTATAGCTTCGTAATTCACTGGACTGCCGCAATCATACTCATACTAATTATTCTATACATTGTATATTAGCATTAGAATACATCAAAGTTGATGTGATGGGCTTAGGAAAAAGATTGTGCACTTTTCCTGATGCGAGTTCCTATCAACCTTATACATTTTGCCTTATAACTTCGTAATTTACAGGACTGCTGCAATCATAGTCATACTGATTATTCTAAACATTGTATATTACCATTAGAATACCTCAAAGTTGATGTGATGGGCTTAGGAAAAAGATTGTGCACTTTTCCTGACGCAAATTCCTATAAACCATATAGATTTTGCCTTATAGCTTCGTAATTCACTGGACTGCCGCAATTATACTCATACTGATTATTCTATACATTGTATATTAGCATTAGAATACCTCAAAGTTGATGTGATGGGCTTAGGAAAAAGATTGTGCACTTTTCCTGACGCAAATTCCTATCAATCATATAGATTTTGCCTTATAGCTTCGTAATTCACTGGACTGCCGCAATCATACTCATACTGATTATTCTATACATTGTATATTAGCATTAGAATACCTCAAAATTGATGTGATGGGCTTAGGAAAAAGATTGTTTACTTTTCCTGATGCGAGTTCCTATTAACCATATACATTTTGCCATATTACTTCGTAATTCACTGAACTGCCGCAATCATACTCATACTGATTATTCTACACATTGTATATTACCATTAGAATACCTCAAAGTTGATGTGATGGGCTTAGGAAAAAGATTGTGCACTTTTCCTGACGCAAATTCCTATCAACCATATAGATTTTGCCTTATAGCTTCGTAATTCACTGGACTGCCTCAATCATATTTATACTGAGTATTCTACACATTGTATATTACCATTAGAATACATCAAAGTTGATGTGATGGACTTAGGAAAAAGGTTGTGCACTTTTTCCTGATGCGAGTTCCTATCAACCATATAGATTTTGCCTTATAGCTTCGTAATTCACTGGACTGCCTCAATCATATTTATACTGAGTATTCTACACATTGTACATTACCATTAGAATACCTCAAAGTTGATGTGATGGGCTTAGGAAAAATATTGTGCACTTTTTCCTGATACGAGTTACTATCAACCATATACATTTTGCCTTATAGCTTCGTAATTCACTGGACTGCCTCAATCATATTTATACTGAGTATTCTACACATTGTATATTACCATTAGAATAGCTCAAAGTTGATGTGATGGGCTTAGGAAAAAGATTGTGCACTTTTCCTGATGCGAGTTCCTATCAACCTTATACATTTTGCCTTATAACTTCGTAATTTACAGGACTGCCGCAATCATAGTCATACTGATTATTCTAAACATTGTATATTACCATTAGAATACATCAAAGTTGATGTGATGGACTAAGGAAAAAAATTGTGCACTTTTTCCTGATACGAGTTACTATCAACCATATACATTTTGCCTTATAGCTTCGTAATTCACTGGACTGCCTCAATCATATTTATACTGAGTATTCTACACATTGTATATTACCATTAGAATAGCTCAAAGTTGATGTGATGGGCTTGGGAAAAAAGATTATGCACTTTTTATGTTCGGAGTTTTAATTGATCGCGTTATGTTAAGCCATAGCTACGTATAATGTACACTACGGTCTCAAATATGCCTTTTAAAATACGTCAATTAATTAGTTTTAACTTGTAAACACGTTTTATCAATGTATAATTGACATTATATAAATATAAAAACATCATTTCGCACCGTATTGTCATTGAATTGTTTTTCCGACATCCCTGCAAAACACGTTTGTGGCGTCCGCAGGAGTACCAACCCACATCTATAACAAACCAAAAAAGCGCCGATGAAAAGAGCCGCTAACTTCACGACGGTTATAACTTCGTAATTCACTGGACTGCCGCAATCATACTCATACTGATTATTCTAAACATTGTATATTACCATTAGAATACCTCAAAGGTGATGTGATGGGCTTAGGAAAAAGATTGTGCACTTTTCCTGACGCAAATTCTTATCAACCATATAGATTTTGCCTTATAGCTTCGTAATTCACTGGACTGCCTCAATCATATTTATACTGAGTATTCTACATATTGTATATTACCATTAGAATACATCAAAGTTGATGTGATGGGCTTAGGAAAATGATTGTGCACTTTTCCTGATGCGAGTTACTATCAACCATATACATTTTGCCATATAGCTTCGTAATTCACTGGACTGCCTCAATCATATGTATACTGAGTATTCTACACATTGTATATTACCATTAGAATACATCAAAGTTGATGTGATGGACTAAGGAAAAAGATTGTGCACTTTTTCCTGATGCGAGTTCCTATCAACCATATAGATTTTGCCTTATAGCTTCGTAATTCACTGGACTGCCTCAATCATATTTATACTGAGTATTCTACACATTGTATATTACCATTAGAATACATCAAAGTTGATGTGATGGACTAAGGAAAAAGATTGTGCACTTTTCCTGATGCGAGTTCCCATCAACCATATGGATTTTGCCTTATAGCTTCGTTATTCACTGGACTGCCGCAATCATACTCATACTGATTATTCTATACATTGTATATTAGCATTAGAATACCTCAAAGTGGATGTGATGGGCTTAGGAAAAAGATTGTGCACTTTTCCTGATGCGAGTTCCTATCAACCATATAGATTTTGCCTTATAGCTTCGTAATTCGCTGGACTGCCTCAATCATATTTATACTGAGTATTCTACACATTGTACATTACCATTAGAATACCTCAAAGTTGATGTGATGGGCTTAGGAAAAAGATTGTGCACTTTTTCCTGATACGAGTTACTATCAACCATATAGATTTTGCCTTATAGCTTCGTAATTCACTGGACTGCATCAATCATATTTATACTGAGTATTCTACACATTGTGTATTACCATTAGAATAGCTCAAAGTTGATGTGATGGGCTTGGGAAAAAGATTATGCACTTTTTATGTTCGGAGTTTTAATTGTTCGCGTTATGTTAAGCCTTAGCTACGTATAATGTACAGTACGGTCTCAAATGTGCCTTTTAAAATACGTCAAATAATTAGTTAACTTGTATACACGTTTTATCAATGTATTATTGACATTATATAAATATAAAAACATCATTTCGCATCGTATTGTCATTGATTTGTGTTTCCGTTATCCCTGCAAAACACGTTTGTGGCGTCCGCAGGCGTACCAACCCACATCTATTACAAACCGAAAAAGCGCCGATGAAAAGAGCCGCTAACTTCACGACGGTGCAGAGACGACCATCTATGTCTAAGTTTTCATTTTAACAGTGATGACAGGATGGGTTAGTCTAAATTTCATGAATAATTTATATTAGTTTGCCCTTAGGTGAATCGTGGAAAATGAACAATAACCGGAACCTTAACTTTATTCTGAACAACCAAGTAGTTTATGAGTGCACTGTTAGGTACGATTGTCTGTGTTGATTTCAAGAACTCAGGTTGTATATATATTCTTGTTAGATGAGGGTAGGTTATTAGCCTACTGCCAATAAGTCATAACAACATAGCTAAGCGAACTTGTACAATTAAGTAGATAATCATTTGGAAACAATGTTAGTAGTGTAAACATGAAGCCGTTTCCCCCTGATCAAGGACACGATGACATTGAAACCCACAAAGATTCAGCTAGACATTCTGAAAAAATATTTTGTGGTAGTTTGAAGGTTAATCAGAATAATTGCCAGTGTTATGCTAAGAATAATGGAAGCAGTGATTGTCAGCATATTTCCGAAACAGATAATCTTATAAGATGTCCAAGGTTAAGAACTAATTTCCATTCCCTAAAATCAGATAAACAAAAGTTGAGCCCTGCACACTATCTTCAAAAGGTGTTTCTATCAAGCGTTACACAGAAATTCCGAAGTCAAAGTTTGCCCAGTTGCAGTGATAAAAAAAACCACATAGGCCTAAAGGTTTCGGTAGGCCTGAATAACACAAACGAAGATATTAGTGAACCATCAACTCCATTAGTTGATGCTACTAGCAGCCTTGCTTATAGGCCCTCAAGCAATATTGGCACCAAAGAATGTGTTACAGAAAATTGGTTTAAGACTTGGCCTGAGAGAAGTGGTGATAAAACAACTAATATCAGTTTAGACAGCCAGTGTGAAAACAAAAAGTGTTTCCAAATCGATGAGGTAAACATTGACAGACACGTATATCATAATAACAGTGGTGCTATAGGGGATAGGACATGTGTTAAAACATTTTGCATTGACATTAAAAGAAACTCTAAACTTAATCATTGTATAGATTGTCACTGTGAAAATAACATTGACAATAAATCAACTGGATGCTCCAGTAAGACAGGCCATTATTTTGAGGGTGCTATTTCAAACAAAAATAAAAACGGGCCTAGGCCTACTTTAAAAACCGTCCGTCTAGATGAACTACTTGATAAATTCCCTTTAGCCTATAGTCCTTTAACAAAACAATTGCTTTTAATCAAACCTGATACTCAAGCACTAAGTCATTATTCCTCTTTTCATACAGAAGTAAATGAAGTATCAAATTATACAAATATTAAGGAAGGTGAAAAAGAAATCTTGAATCTGGAGGGAAAAGAGACTGATATAGAAGCACCAAGAGTGCTCAAAGAATTTACTGGTAACTCAAAGGGTACAGAATGTGATCTAATTACTCAAAATCTACATAGAGTAAATACAGAAGCCAGTTCTTTCTCAAGTACTGTGTCAAGTTTAAGTGATATTTCTCCTTCGACAATTGAAGACTCTGCTTCAGGAAGTTTACTAGATCATGGAGATAGTTGTTCGTTAGTATCAATCAGTGGCTGTAGTGCCTTTTCTGATGATTCATTAGGAGCAGATAGTAAGAAGAAAAGTTTAGGTGGATTTTTAAGCAGGTCAGTGGCATAAGTTAGGCCCTAATTTTTATTTTAAGTATATGTAGGCCTACCTAATGTTTAAAAGCTCAAGTTTAAAATGAGATTAACTTAGGCTAACTTTTCATTCTTTTCTCAAAAAATATAGGTAACTTAGGCTAAATTTCTTCAATGCACATATAACTTATAGGCGAAATCGCCAAGTGTAATTTTTAGCGAATTTCCCATAAGCTATTACCATAGGTCTCATGGTAAGACCTAGACCCGGGACCAATTTACTTTTTCATTTTGAGGTCCCCAGAGGCCAAAAACATCCTCCGTTCAATTCAATTCATTTATTTCCATGGTAACACCATTTTACAAAAAGGTACACCTACAGTAATGTAAGTAAGCTATCAAACTAAAATTATTAACAACAAATAAGTTAAAGGCTATGACTGAATAAATTAAAAATAACAAAAAGAAAAAGACAATTTTGTGAAACAATAACAAAACAACACTTGAATACACGGTTTGGTATATAGCCTATATGAATAAATTCAAATTCATATAACTTACCTATATATATTTAATAATTTATATGTAAGTTATATATGTATTGTGTGTGTGTCCGTTAGCGCGATAACTCAAGCAAAAATGACCCGATTTTGATGAAATTTGGTTCAAACATGTAAACCTATGTTTATTCTCTGGTTTGCGTTTAAACTGGCTTAAACTGGTTTGCGAACTTGTTCTCGAACGAGTTCGCGAACCAGCATGATCAGACTAAGTTATGGGAATTGGGGTTTATGGGGGTTTTACGGAGTAAAAATTTGGGTTTTCTCTTTTTTGACTCTAAAATCATAACATTTAAAAAATTTTTCTAGACCATTTTGTAGAGATTAAATAAAGAAATAACTTTGTAATATTGAAGCGTAGGTGTATGCCTAACGGTTACAGAGGTAAACTTAATAAAATACCCCCGCCGCAGCAAACCTGCCGTCTAAGCGAATTTCCATTTGGCCGAATTGATTTTCAATTGATCTATTTAAATAACATTAGGTTTAACGAGTACCTAGGTTTGCTGCTACAAGGAAACTAATAAAGTAGTGTGTTTTTAGTAAAATATTTATAGCTTACTATAAAATAAATAAATTTGCCAAGTTTGATCAAAATATATCCATAAACAAGCAAACTACAACATTTTACAATATTCTCCATAAGAATAACATGGGAATTTTAAATTTACCATTTTTTTAGTTTTGTCCGTAACCAATAACCGTACAAAAACACTTTGATATACTGAATTGTTTGTTTTTTTAAGCTCTTTAAGAAGGTTTAGAGAAAAATTGGGAAATTTTGTGTTTTGAGGGTAAGAAGTGAGAAAAACCAATTTTTACCCCATAAAACCCCCCATAAAACCCTGTTCCCATAGTCCGATCATGCTGGATCGCGAACTCATTCAAGTTTATCCCGCCTTACACCTTCAAACCAAATTTCATCAAAATCGGATAAAAATTACTCAAGTTATCGTGTTCACGGACACATATATATATAAATCTATATATATATATATCTATATATATATATATATATACATATATAAAAATTTGAACGAATGGTGTTTTTGGCCTCTGGGGACATTAAAATGAAAAAGTAAATCGGTCCCGGGCCTAAGTCTTACCATGAGACCTACGGTAATAGCTACTTCCCTATAGGGAAATTCGCTAAAAACTTTAAATTTAAAATTCCCATGTTATTCTTATGAAGATTCAATAAACTGTTGTAGGCCTAGGTAGTTTGCTTGTTTTGTCATTTTTGAATCAAATTCATGGCAATTTTGTTTATTTCATACTAAGCTATCAACATTTCAATAAAAAACTAACCTCAATACCGTACCTTCCCTACAGCAACAAACTTAGGTACCGTATAGGCTACTCATTAAAATTAATGTTTTTTAAATAGGAAATAAATCTGACAATTTTTAGGGGATATTTTAGTAGAAATCCAGCCAGGTAAATGGAAATTCGCTTAGTCCGCAGGTTTGCTGCGGTAGGGGTATTTTTACTTTTGAGAGAGCATACCTACTTAAACTTAACTGAGTATACTCCTTTTCATAAGCAAGTACAGTAGGTGGTATTACTCAATGATCACATAAGATCATTAAACTCAGCCACGCCTACGTGCCTAGGCGTAGGTGTTGTTGTTAGGAGCACGCCTCTATCTAATTATAATTCAAGCAGCTGAAGCCAGGTCTGCCATCTTAATGTAGGATAGAAGCGTTAGATGCCGATGAAAACGGCACCAAAACTTAATGTTCCGCTTCAAAATAACTTGACATTTAGCCTACTTAGACTAAAGGTAAATCGTTGAAACTTTGTAAACTGTATGAGAGATGTCAATAAGTCTAGGACACTATTGGTTCTAATTAAAAGCGAGTTAGGCCTAATACATTTTTCTATTTCAAATCTTCAAATAAAGTCGGTACTTTTAAATGAGTTTTAAAATATGACATGTAAAAGTTCGTCGGCTGCTACTTTTTTTAGTTTTTGGTCGAAGGTAGGGTAAGTTAAAAAACAATGGATTTTGTAGCTAAAGAGTTGAAATTTCAGATCATATTTTTAAAAATTATTAGCTGGTGTAGTTTGGTTGTAATTTAAATTGTACCGTACTTTAGGGGTTACCCGTAGTGCTGCGTTGAGTCATGCGGAAAGATTCTGCCTACAACCTCACTTGTAATCCAGTTTAGAAACTCAACTTTGGAGCTATACAGAAAAGTTACTAAACTAATTATAAAAACACGGAGTTCATATAAATGTTCTTAGTATTATTCTTTGTATTCATCTAAAAACTAATATTTTTTAGCTCTTTCAAAAAAATAATATGACAGTCAGAATATAAAGGAGAGTTGTTTAAAGAGTTTCAGAAACTATCTTTTGACTTGGAAAATTCGTACATTGTAAACCAAACGCCAGAACTTTATCAAACTTTAATACGATATAGATAGGACATATATTATAAATTAATTTGTATGTTTTCAGAGCTTTTGTTACGCCCAAAAAGTTGTTGTTGTTATTATGTAACTTAAATGAAATTTTTCTAAGAAACGGTAAACGCAAAAAAAAGTTAAAAGTGTATATAGGGTGTGTAATCTGTATGAAATAATATCACCACTATATGAACGAATATTTTGATAAAGTTTTATTTACAAACGAATAGAGAAGTGTACTAAATCATGACGCAGTCAAAACTGAATGTTTTACAAAACTAGCAATAGCTGTTACATAATAAATATTAAATAAGTATAGACCAAAGGCATCACAGATGTGGCTAAGTTGACGCCACATCAGCCCCCCGCAGAGACTGGAAGTCCAGGAATCTTGAGCTTTGTGCTTTGGCAATTGACTCAGGATCCAATGAACATGAAATAGCCTCTACACGTGATAAAGCATCGGCAACAATGTTTTCTGAACCTCCGATGTGTTTTATGTCTGTAGAAAACTCGGATATGAATGAAATCTGACGTAGTTGAACGGGTGGAAGTTTCTAACGACGTTGATGAAAAGCAAAGATGAGTGGCTTATGATCCGTAAAACTGGTAAATGGGTTTCCAAAAAATGACGAAAATGCTGTACTGCTTCATACACAGCAAGAAGTTCACGGTAGTACGCCGGCCAAGAGCTTTGCTTTGGTGAAAGTTTCTTAGAGAAGAATCCAAGTGGCTGCCAGGAATTTTCAACGAACTGTTGAAGGCAAGCTCCTACACTAACGTCAGAGGCGTCTGTAAACAGTCCAAGAGGGGCGTCATGTTTCGGATGAAATAGGAGTGTCACTGACGACAAACTAGACTTGCAAGCTTGAAACGCTTCCTCAGTCTCTGGGGTCCAAGGCACAGGAAGTGATCCCTTGCTATTTACACCACCAAGCAGAGAGTGTAAAGGTGCTTGGAGTTCTGCGGCTTTAGGCAAGAATCTACGATAGAAATTGATCATACCTAGGAACCGTCGAAGACCACGCATTGTCTTAGGTAGTTGGTACTCCTGAAGAGCAGATATTCGGTCTTGTGGAGGGTGGACACCTGATGCTGAAACTCTGTACCCTAAAAACGTCACTTCAGGCACTGCAAAAACACACTTGGACGAGTTTACAATAACGCCATAGGAATGGAGTCTTTTGAACAAAGTCCTAAGATGTTGCTCATGTTCTTCAGCTGATCGGGAAAACACTAAAATATCATCAATGTAGCTGAACGTAAAATCTAGGTTTTGGGTCACTTCATCTATGAAACGCTGGAATGTTTGGCCAGCATTACGTAAAAGTCATGAAAGGAAACTCAAAAAGGCCGAATGGAGTTGTGATAGCAGTTTTGCATATGTCATCTGGGTGTACAGGGATTTGTTGGTATGCTTTTACTAGATCTATGACAGAAAATACGTTACAGCCTGAAAGATTATTTGAAAAATCATGAATGTGTCGAACAGGATACCTGTCAGGAGTGGTGCGTGCATTCAATGCACGGTAGTCTCCACACGGTCTCCATCCATTTTCTCCTTTTGACGCCAGATGCAGGGGTGAAGCCCACGGACTGTCTGATGGACGTGCAGTACCACATTTTACCATGTCGGCAAATTCACTTTTTGCAATGCTAAGCTTTTCAGGGGCCAGTCGTCGTGGTCGGCAGAATACAGGAGGTCCTGGAGTCGTGTGTATATGATGTACTGTCTGGTGCTTCACTTCTCGAGGCATTCCTGGAGGGCGAGTCATTTCAGGGAATTCATGCAGGACTTTAGAGAGGGGAAAAGTAGTGACTACGGATTTTACGCTACTTTGAGTCGTAACGGAAAGTTTTCCTCCTGTAAAAAGTCCAGTTGTGGCATCGTGAAGTCGCAACAGTCGACAGTCAGGAAGCAAATGGTAGTAACTGAGGAAGTCTGAGCCAATGATTGGAACGCTGACATCTGCAACCGTGAACTGCCATGCAAAACTACGGCGTAGGCCTAGGTCCAATGTCATAGAACAGGTTCCGTAAGTCTTGATAGTAC